TAAGGGCTGTATGAAGTTATGGGTTCCATGTGAAAGCAGAATTCATCCATCTGTTTTGGGGACCTGGGTTTTGGAGCCCAAAGTGTGAAACTATTAAGATCTGATATAAAAGAGTGAAGGAAGCCATGATGCATGGAGCAGCATTGCTATTTCAACAGATAGTGTGATAGAAGAACACATGTCATGAATGACATTGTACATGGACACAGAAGTTGAAGACATGTTTGTTCCCATGCATACCTTGGTGGCATCAGACATATCTAACATAGTCATGGCATTGAAACATTACTGAGTGTTAGAACCAGCATGGTGAAAATATGAACTTTTGAATTATACTTAGATGCAAATCAAGGTTTATATGCTGGTTGATTTTGTGCCTTGGTCCACTGGTATGATAATCTCTGATCATTAGTTTACTTATGAGATGGAGATACCTACCTCCTATAATAGTCATGAAGGGTTCAGTGGAATGATGAGATGTTCCACATAGAGTACCTAGCACAGTGTCTGATACATAAAAGGACAGGCAATTATTGTTTACCAGGTTCCAGGGGCTATTTCTAGTTTTATCCTATGAGGCACATACTGTGTGGCCTCTAATCATCTTAGTATCACTCTGTATGTAAAGATGTGCTTTCTAAATCCATTTATCCTTCTAGTAGATATCATGTTAACATTATTCTTCCTAGACAAGTTTTCTGGACTAATCCAGAGCTTTGACTTGAATCCGGATTTGAGTGTGTTCAATTGTACCATGAGATTCAGCCTCAGACTTAGCCCCTTCTCATCTTCTGCCTGTGGGGTAACTATCACATTGGGAAAGACAATTGCTCAGGAAGATTGTGTTAGGAAGAGCTCTGTCACTACCAGGACAAAGGTCTGACTGCATTTTTGGTCTATGATAAGAACCCTCATTGCTTTGCATCCACTTATTTACCCTCTCTGAATGTTGGTTCCTTCTTTTAATAGGGAGTTATTGCTTTGTTCTATTTTTGCAATTATTTATTACCTCTCAGCTCTCAGAACCCCTTTCACTGTGAACAAAATGCAGCACTTATCCTAGCCTCCCTTTAAAAATCTCGATTGTTCATTATTTCCACAGATTGTTTCCTCAGGATATCCCATCTCTGCAATGCTGTTAATTCTGTTTTGATTCTCTTTAGAATCATATTTCCTTTTGAAGTACTCTTAAGTCCTACTACAGTTGTCTGCTGGGTTCTATCTTTCCCTAAGGATGGAGAAGCAATCTTTATTTTGGCAAACTTGACATTGTTCTATTCCCCATCTCTTTCTTCCAACATCTTGTCTCAAGAGATTCAGCTGGATGACTCAATTTTATTTTCATTCTCCTTTCTTAACCATTTATAACAGAAGGTTTTTTTTATATGTGGTGGTTGCATGATGAAGAATAAACAAAAAAGTTAAGATTGTTACAGTTTAATTTTATGGTACTTTTTCCAATCTTTTGGCTTTATTTTAGTGCTATCTTTTTTCTGGACTGGTATCAGGAAATTATTAGAAATTCAAGAGCCAATATTACAAATGTTATAAGCTGAGAACAAAGCCTTCTCCAAGACACATCAGCAGAGAGGCAGAGATGTATGGCCATGGGTCTTGGATGAATTGTGGAGAACATGGGTTTGATTAAATCTATGGGAGAAATTCTCACTGGGATTTTCTAAACATTCCTTTGTCTGTTTTTTTAAGAAAATATTTGTATTCAAGGGCTTAGAATCTTAACAAACAAGGAGGTGGCTTGGTCTATTTGAATCAAAATTAGCAACTCCTAATCTAGATGAGATGTAGGCCTCTCAGCAATAACAGTGGCCTGAGGTAAATGAGCTGGGAATTTCCTCTGGGAGGAGTGACAAGGGTCCATGACAGGTAAACATTCATTGCAGTCAGCAGCCTGGTTGTCACCTGTGGCCATGGGCAAAGATTGAATTGTCTCTAAGGCAAGTCCAGACTAGTTTCTCATCGTGAAGAATGGCTAGGCATACCAGCAGAGTGAGATGGACTTCAGTGTAACTATGTCTGTTTGAGTAAAATACCAACATGATTTAGCCTTCAGCTTGCCCTGATCCAATCAATTCTCTTCACTACAGCTGGAGTGATATTTTAAAAACAGAAATTGGATTGTGTCATTGCCTTGATTAAAGTCCAAGCTCTTTCACATGGCCTACAAGGTCTGTCAAGATCTGGGTTGAACTTATTTTCCCAGTTTCATTTCAAATAGGCATAGCTTCTTACTGTAGTTCAGTCTTCTTGAACTTTCTTCTCTGTCTGGTGTGCTATTTCTCTTCCTTTTATCTGTTCCACTTCTACTTTAAGTCTCAGGTAAAACATCACTTCCATAGAGAATCCTTCTCTGACCTTCTCAGAGTAGGTCAGCTGACTTTGTTAAAAGGTTTCATATTTTTGGTAGAAATTATTACAGGTTTTGCCAGACTGTGGGAAGGATAGCATTTCATTCATCACTTTACTCCAGAGTTTAGTAGAGGGCCAATTAATGTCCTTTGGACATCATTACTAAATTATTCTTTCCCTTCTTAACTCCATGGTGATAAAGATGTTTGCCTGTATACAGTTTCCCCTTTGGATCTCTACCTTCATTCTCTGTCTGGTGAATTCCTGTTTATCTTTTAAGATCCAGCTCTAGAATCCCCTTCTTTTGAGTACTTTTCATAGATGCCCTCTGTACTCATCAGGGCAGGCTCAAGTGCTTAAATCATCAAGGATATATTTCTAGGTCATGCGACATGTTTGTAATACATGTCAGATGGCCTCCTTCCCTCTCAGAGACACATGGTAAAAGAGTCTCCATCTCTGTGCTTCCATGATTCCCAAGACAGGAACAAGAAAATGTGGAAAGCCAGATACTGGCTCTAATTTTTCCACTTAGAAGTAGAATGCTCTCATCAGAGTTCATGTTCAGTCATACAGCTGAGCTTAAATTAGAAAAGAATTGGAAAGCATAATTATGCTGTGTGCCCAGAAGTAGGAAAATCGATATTTTATAAACAATACTATTGCCAACCAATAGAACACCAGTCCCAAGAGAACACCAGTAATTTATTTTTCTACACTTTTGTAGTCATACCAGAGACTTTGTAATCATCAATAACTAAATAACTTTCAAAAGGTTAATGCCAAGGGATGCAGAGATAGGAGAATCATGGTTTGAGGCTAGCCCAGGCAAAATGGTAGTGAGAACTTATTTCAAAAATGAGCTGGTTGTGTTGGTACACATCTGTAATCCCAGCTACTTAGGAGACAGAGGTAGGAGGATTGGTCTGAAGCCATTATGGGCAACATTAGTGGGAGAACCTGTCTGAAAAGCAAAATAAAAAGTAAAAGGACTTGGGGCGTGGGTCGAGAGGTAGAGCACCTGACTTGCAAGTGGGAGGCTCTGAGTTCAGACTCCAGTACTGAACAAATAAAAATGTCAAGCACACCACACTATGATGCCATCGTTTAGTTTCTCAGCTTATGCATTTCAGTGCTGTCAGTGCAATGATTGTTTGCTCCCATCAGAATTCCTGGGATAGGTGCTTTGTTCTCCAGGAAGTAACTCTGAGATGGAGACTGGCACACAGGAAGTTGTTGACGCCTGAGTTACTTCACTAATTTCTTGTGTTTGGTTTTTATCATGCTATGGAGGCCTTGGTAGCTGTGGATCTCTTTCTAAGACCTCAATTACCCAACAATAACTTTTATTTATAGGCCAACAGTCCTATAGCACTGAAAAAGAACTTGGTGTTGTTCCAGGATGTTTTATTAGAAAATAAATCAACATACTTTTCTTTTAACAATAAATAGATACGTGAGTTTTCTAGTGTCAGTGTGGCCATTTTTATACTTAGTTTCTCTAAATTAAGGGCATTAGGGTGCCGGTGATTATCTTAAGAGAAACATGATATTTGATTTATAATCACTTTTAAAGTGATTTCATGAGATAAATCGTAGTAAATAAGAGGGTCACTTCTGAATTCAAATCCCAGGTCTAGTATGTTTTAATGGCATGACTTTAATTTAGATATTTAACTTTTCTGAATTGCACATTTCTGAACTACAAAATGGGGTAGTATTTTTACTTTGCTCACAGAATTACATGTGGGTCAAATTAAATAATGTCCTTAGGGTAAACTGATAAGGATGCTGGGGTCAGAGCAGTGAAATCCAAGGCTAGTAACTAGCAAAATCAGAATGAGCTCACACTTTTCGTCTTGGATTTTCATGCTGAACTCCGATCCCTCCATCTCTGTAATCATCACACTGCCTATGTATGAACATAAATCCATTTTTGCAAGCAAACTCTGTACTTATGGTTGTAGGGTATTTTAATCCTCATCATGAAGATTTTCTGAGAAAACTGGTGATGCTCTGACCTCTATCCCAAAGAGAATAATATCTTTTGTTGAATCAGCCCATTAGTCTATCACATGGGATAGATCCAGGTCAAAGGATGAAAGACATTAATTTGCATCAGATAACAGCTGCTATCTGTATTCACAGTGCAACATGGGAGAAACTGGCTGCAGCATCATTTTGTAACAGATGGATTAAAGCATGTCTTAGTAAGACACATAAGCAGAGAAGGGCTGGATTCCCTTGATCTCTCTGATAAAAGCTGCACCATGTACTGTGCTTGCTCGATACATATTAATTCGTACCAACTCTGGATGCAAAACTCCTTGATTATGGACATTTAAATAGAATATCCTCCTTGGTCAGAAATTAATAATTGATTTGGTCTTCCTACTTCTTAGCTTCTTAACTGTTGTATCTCACCATGCATCTTTCTAGAAATACTTTCAGCTCAGGATAGGATCTAATGCACCAGCTGAATTTGCACTTAAAGTTTTGTGTTTAATGCATCTTGCTTTTTCTCTTGACTTCAGTGGGCATTCACCTTTTGTAATTTCATTGCAGGGTGATTAGACTCTGGTTCAATTATTTGACTAACCAGGATATTGCTTCTTTTTTTTTTCTTCCTTCAGATATTGATGAGTGTGCAGCCAAGATGCATTACTGTCATGCCAATACTGTGTGTGTCAACCTGCCAGGGTTATATCGCTGTGATTGTGTCCCAGGATACATTCGTGTGGATGACTTCTCTTGTACTGGTGAGCGTTAAGGAGCAATGCTGTTTTTCTAAGTCATCCCTTTTCTACACCATATTTGTGTTGTTACATTTAGCTCCCAGTGAACAAATGGCTATTTTTACCTAAATAATTTTTCTTTTTCATTATTTCACTCTCATCTTTTGAGAAAAGAATAATGACAGAAATTTAATCTGCATAATTTATTTCTACTTCCAGTATTTTTTCCTTGACTATGAGCATACATGCATGGGTGTATGATTTGGAGTTGAAGTCCTAGTTGCCTAGGGTAACACTGAAGGACTGAGAGATATTAGTTCTAAAAATTAAAGTATCAAACTATTTTCCTTCCATCATGATGAAATTTTTTATAAGAAAATGTACTTTTTGAAAGATGAGTGTTATATGGAAAAAGGTGGCAGAAATACTTGGTGATCAGGGGATGGGCATATGGGAGCCAGTCAAGATTATTTTCATTAATATTTGCATATTGTGAGTTCCCATCATTTCTCTTCATATCACTGTGCTCAGCACTAATGTGGATCCATGGACAGTGGTCATGGCCTATGTGGTTTTGTGGAGAAAACGGTTTATAGTTCCAATGTATTTTCAGTAATGTATCTGCAGGCATGAACCTTAAATTGGTTAAAGGTGGTAGAAGATTCCAGGCCTTTCTTCGACTGGAAAAAATGTATTAAAATGCCCCAATCAGCAACCTATAGGAAAAGAACCCTCTGAACTCAAGATTTCAGTGATGTTATAACTTTACCTGACCCCTGCATCTTTTCTCCTGTTCTAATGGCATTGGCATATAAAATCTACCACTTAGTGTATTTTTCTAAACAACTATCTCAGAAGTGTAAAAAGCTGCAAAAATTATGGAAACATGTATGTCCAAATGCCTTTGTTATTGACTGTTGCACATTGACAAGTTGCCATTCTTCAAGGGGTTAGAGAGCTCCTACTGATGCATATTTCTGAGACCAACATGTCAAATGTCATTTATCTGTCTTATACACAGTATAATTAAAATCCTAGAGAAACATGGGAGAGAATTCATAAACATAGCACGCTAGGATTTAAATATTTTTCTCTTCTTTTTTTGTAGTATTCTTGTACCGGGAGTACATTGTGACATTTATAAAAGTTATTACAATATATTATAGTTGAATTCACTCCCTCCATCATTCTTCTTCATCTTCTGTCCCTCATTCCAGGAATAGTTTCAGCAGGTCTCATTTTTCCATTTATGTACATGAGTACATGATATTTCCACCATATTCACCTCCTGTATCCTTTCCTTATATCTCCCGCACTGGTATCAACCTCCCCCTACCCCCAGATAAGACCTGTTTTGCCTTCCTGTTCTCTATTTTTGAAAAAAAAAGACATTTTTGTTTAAGATAGCTATGCAGAGTGGTTCATTCCCTCTATTTTTCTACCTTAGTCCCCTTCTTATGGTGATTTCAATAGGTTTAAAAATTCCATATTTATTCTTGTATAGGAAGTACATCAACCATATTCACCTTCTTAACTTCCTTCTTTTACCCTCAGTCTCTCATATGTGACCTCCCCTTAGTGTGACCTGTTTTTCATAATATCATTTGTATTTGTGTTGTGTATATTTTAGGATCTAATATTTTAAGGGGTCAAACTCTTGTGCTTGTAAACAAACACTATCTAAAAAGTTGTGAAAATTATACCTATCACTCTGTTCCTAATAATAAGTGTAGCTCATAACTTATTTTAACCCAATGATTAGAAGAAGCTGGTGAATATCCTCCCAACACAACAGTGCCACATCTTGCAACACAATAAACCTTAATGCAGGCCCACTTGTGTGGAAGGCCTCGTTGTAATCATATCAGAATGCCACCTCTTCTCTTATTTTCTCACTGAGGAAGGAAGGGGAAAGCTGGTGCTTAATTCCTATTAAGGACAGAAGTTCTGCCTGGTATTTTATGTATGGATCAAGGTGGAAAATGTGTTATCTTAAGAATTGGCTCCAGAATTATCTCCTGAAAGTAAACTGTGTTGTTTTAAATAAAAGGGTAAGGGTATCAGTGGGCATCTAAACACTCCCCATTCCCACCCCCCCCCACACAAAGAGAAAATAGTTGTGCCAGAAAAAAATACATCACACACACATACTTTTTGGGTTTTTTGTGTATGTGTGTGTTTTAGACGGAGTAGAAAAAATAGAAAATACAAAAGAGACACAAATAAGGGGTGAATAATCAGTCAGAGAGCAGGAGCAGAAGGCAGGTGAACATGTCCCAAAGGAAAGAGAGCTAGGAGAATTTTTTTTTAATTCATATTTGCATACAATGTTTGAGTCATTTCTCCCCCCTTCCCCCACCCCCTCCCTTACCCCTAGGAGGATTTTTTAAAGGATAGGAATCTTTGATGTGAGGTTTGTCTGCTGTTTCATTATACAATATGCTATATAAGTCTTCTGCATGACCCTCAAATCTTCAGCAGATCTACCTTCCGTTAATGCTGGGTGAACACTGTCCTCCAGAGCACAATATAAATGAATGTTAAACAACAGAAATGGTACAAGTGCATATAGGATCTTGGTGCAGCAGATCTAGAGGTAACCATTATAATGTAACTATCCTTCGTGATATCCCCTCCCCACCGTACACTTACATATGCATACATGTGTGTCAGTCCCCATCACCTGATCTCAGGAATGCCACTAATCTTGATGAGGGCTTGGGACATCCATAGGTCATACGTCATGTTTCTCTTTGAAAAGTCTGCCTTTGAATTCAGATTCTTTCCAACCCATTTGCCTCCATGTTTTTCTGCTTTTCATTTACAACAAAACTTAATTTGTCTGTGACTCTTATACTCATTTACCTTCACACATGGCAATTATATGCACACCTCATCTCAGACATCCATACTCACCATTCCACACAGACCACATCTATTGAGGTCATCCATGAACTCCATTTTGTTAAGTCAAATGCTCTGTTCTTAGAAGCATTCAGCAGAGCATTTAGCATATGTTCCTTTTAGAAAGACATTCTTTTCTTGGCTTTTGTGGAATTCTATTTCTTATTTTTCCTTTTATCTCACTGACTACTCCTGGCTAGTGTTTCTAGTTGGTACATTTTCATCTGCTTGTGAGTTGAAAGATTAGAGTGCCTTAAGGCTTTGCCCTGGGCCATATTCTCTCATTTACATATACTAACATATATATATGTATATGTTAGTATATATCACCATGTAGAGTATTTCTTATTTTTAAGAAACTTATAAATTCATATATGTAATATACATATACATATATATGTCAAAATAAATACAACTTATAGGGCTGAAGATGTGGCTCAGGTGGAAGAGCACCTGCCTAGCAAGCAGTTGGCCCTGAGTTCAAACCCCAGTATTAGAGAGTTTTTCTTATTTGTAAGTGATTTTTTTTGCCTCTTTCCAGTAGAAATAAACTCTTAGAGAAGGGATTTTTTTCCTTGTGTTCCCTATTATTTCTAACTACCTAAAATGTTGTTTGGCATGGAATATTGCTCAATTAATTTTTATTGAATGAAATAATGCATAAAATGAATTTATCTTAGTTAAATTCTCTATTTCTCAAAACCTGATTCATAAATTATTTCTCATATCTGTCATGCCTATGGTTGTTGTGTAAAATATCAGTTAGTACAATATATGTAAAAATATTTAGCACATGACTTAGTCAGAATAGACTCTTCTGCAGCAACACGTAACTATAAATATGAGAGACTTAAAATAACAGTTTTATTTCTTACTCATGTTATTTGTCTATCACTGTTTAACAGGGTTGCTCTACTTATGATTACTTTGGAATTCAAGCTGATGGAATTGTCACCATCATGAATATTGCTAGTCACCAAGCTGAGAAAAAAGAGACACTGGACAGTCCTCCATGAGATATTAAATGTTCTACAGAAAGTGACACATAGCACTCATACCCACAACTCATTGAAGATAACTACTCACTAATCCCATCCAACCACAATAGAATGAGGGAATGAAGTCCTACTATGTTTTCTGGTAGAGAATCAGGAATATTTGGTGAATAGTACTAATGAATACTATTGTGACCAATGGGTTAAAAGATTTTCAACAAATACAACTTCTTTTAAGATGAGGAGCTGTTGGTTAATCTTTTTGCAACAGGGGTTGACAATGGGATAGTGAATGTAGTCTCACAAGATAGCCACAGAGTGGAGTATACAGTGCTTGCCTTGCATGTGTGAGGCCCTAGGTTCTATCCTAACACCATGAAACAAAACAAAAACCAAAGCCTAGAATATTAAGCACTTTGTATTGAGCATATTGAATTAAGTACTATCATGAAAATAAAAAAAAATGTGATAAGCAAAGGTCCTTGATTGCCAGGATGGATATTTTAAATTTTTTTCCAAGTCAGGGAGACCTACTGAAATTTGCTGAAGCCTGCTAGTATATAGTGATTGAATTAGGTTAAGATTTTACAGTGAGGAATGTGAATGGGAGAGAGGAGAGGTAATCATTTCCATTAGACACTTTTGTAGTAAGTTGAATCTCTGAAACTCTGACATCTCCCTTGGTGATGGTTATTTGTAATAAATGAGGTGGGTTAATAAATATCTGCCACTATAAGTGGTTTTTATTTTTCTCCCCAGATATTTAATTCCAGAAGACAATTGCTGGGAGAAATTGACAGTCTTAAAGACATCTTTTGTTTACCCTAAGATCCTGATATAGCATTTCCATTATTGACATTCTTTATTTCCAAAGATCATTGTAGTCTCTGTCCCAAGTCAATTTGTATCTGCTGATGCTATTCACTGTTGGTTTTCTACTATGTCAAGGGCAAATTTGGCTTTTTTTTTTTCTGTTGTATTCCTTTTTATCTTGGACACCAAGGTTTTAGAAGTCAATAGTCATACTGAAAAATTCCATTCAACCAAAACATAGTGAGCCCAGAGTTAAAGAAGATATATCAGCTTTGGTGATTCATTGATTTATCAAATGATGTCTTCATTCAT